CCACATTAACTGTGAATCCTGAGATTCAGGAACCTGACTATCTCTAATCAAGCCTCCTCCCTCAGCAATAATTTATTTTTTAATATAATTTAATAATTAAAAAATATTTTTTATTCTTTTAATTTGCATTTTAAAATATAAGTTAAAAATAAAATAAAAAAAATCAAGACACTCAATTATGGTGGCAGTCAGAAAGGTTTTTTAGGGGTAAAAAAAATTATTTAAAAAATGTAATTATGCATTAATAAAAAAATTGATAAAAAAATAATAAAATAAATTTATTTTAAATAAAATCTATTATTCTTAAAGGATAACTGACTATAGTGGATAACGTAAAAAGGTGGTTAATTGAAAGATACTAATTAATAATATAAATTTAGTATCTAAAAAGAGTAATTTAATAGTTAAAATTTTGATATTTTAAATTAAAAATTTTAAATTTAAATCTTGGGGAGGGATTCAGAAAAATTTTTTTTTTCTTATAGAAATCATAATTATCACATATGCTAAAAAAATATAAATTAAATAAAAGGATATTGATGAACAACAAAATAATAAAGTAAAAAAATATTACAAGAAATAAATATTATATGATAGGCCACATAATAAATTATTGGGTCCACGCAAATTTATTTTTTCTATAAACAATCAATTATAGTATTTAAAATATCAATGTGCAGTATAATTTAAAAGAGTAATGATGCAACAGACAAAAACGCGGGACGATAAGTAATGCAAAGGGATCAAATTAGTAATTGCACTACATACATTAATCTTGCATCACTTGTCGTCCTGCTTCGTCCGCTGCATCGTTACTCAATTTAAAATATTAGTCATTTTGAATCAATATTTGTAAGAAGCGACCAAATCATAGCGAAATTGATGTGTTTGGTGCGACTGGTGGAAAGGTCTTTTTAGACTTAAAAGCTGTAACTGCATCGAAACACTAGTGCTTATGAAAAACAAAAATCTTTCTCAAAAGCTCATGTCCTCCCATTTTAATGCAATTTTGAGAATGACGAATTTCGTGTTTTTGCGGCAACTTCTACTTTTTTGGTTTAATGAATTTTACTCACTCTTCCTATTTTATCCTCACATTTGCTTCTATTTACAAAAAAAACCAAGCTATATAGGTTCCAGTTATAACATCCCACCATTCCTTTCTCGCGCAGCC